TGGACTCAATGTATGTCTCCCCCAAATTCAGGTACTGAAACCTATCCCCACGGTGAAGGGTGAGGATGTAGGGCCTTTGTGAGGTGATGAGGTGATGAGCGTGGAGCCCCCATGAATGGAATCAGTGTGCTATAAGGGAGCCTCCAGCCCTCCCGCCTGGTGTAGCGAGACCACTGTCCGTGAACCGAGAAGCTGCCCTCACCAGTCAGATCTGCCAGCACCAGGACCTTGGACTTGCAGCCTCCAGACTGAGAAGTAAATGTCTGTTGTTCCCAAGCCCCCATATCACAGCAGCGCCCCAGGTATTCCACCTGACCACAGACTCTACCACTCCAACCTGCTAGAAGAATCTCGCCAGGCTCTCTCTCACCCACCATCCCCTACACGAAACCTTTCCCAGGCACACGCCATGAAATAAAGCCCTAGCCAGCTTGGAATACTGTAAACAATCTGGCCAGACTATTTTCCAAACTAATCACCTACTATTTCAGTCCACAAATCCTCTGTCACTACAAAGCTAATCAACTCAGTACCCATGAACACTTGTGCACAGAACCCAGCCTGACGTCCTCCCCTCTACTCTGGGGGGGGCACCCAAACCGTACCCATCTTCCAAAGCCTATCATCCACGAAGTTGCCCCACACACCTGTCCCAGGCGACCCCTGCCCTGGAGCCAGCACACCGGCCCCATCTGTCCATGGGACAGCTCTTGTACGAACAAACGCCAGGCTGCCGATGTTTTTAGCCCTTGCATTACTTCACTTTCCTCTGTGTATGTCAATAGTTCCTATGAATTTTAAGCAACTAAGGAGATGGCATCATTTAACTCCCCACTTGTGTTTCCTACAGTGCAAAACACAATTATGCACAGGACCGCTATGCCATCATTACTGTATAAACGTTTCATCGGCTCCACCTTGGCCACCTTCAGATTCGATGAAAAATGACAGCAATCTGCATTTTCAATAGTTCAACTAGGAAGTAAAAAGGACACTGGTACACACGATGTCATGTGGCACGACCACAAAAAGCCACAGAAGTCGAACAGCCTGAGCTATCAGACATGAACAACACAGAAAAGAAAGCATCCAAGGCTTTTAGGAAGAAAGTTTGTGCAGATTTAACGTCCCAAAACCCAACAGAGTCACTCAGATGTAAAGGACTGGGACACGCTGAGCTTCAAGATGATCTACTTTCATGTTCTTCGGTTAGTGTTTAACCTGTGGAATCAGGACAGGAAAGAGAACATGTGTAAACTGGCCTATCTTTACAATACACAGCCACCCATGTCTGGCCACCAGAGGTGTCCCCAGTTCTTGTGTACATCTGACTAGCAAGTGAGCACTGACTGTCCTGCAGATGAGGCATAAGGGCAGCCATAACCTCTGACCTCAAGATCCCAGGACCTCAGCGGCCCAAGCAAAAGAAAGGTCACTGGGGGAGCCCAGCCAGGGACCTGACCCAAACAGGATCCAGTGCCACCGAGCACGTGCACATAGGCTGATCTGTGACCTCCCATCTCAGAAGCACCCAAAACCCTTGTAGAGAACAAAAAAGACTACTTAAAAATTCCATCGAAACTCATAAACCAGTCATCTAAGCAAATCTCCATGAATCACTATGTGAAAAGAGACAGTGCTGCCCGGCCGGTGTGGCTCAGTGGTTGAGTGTCAACCCATGCACCAAGAAGTCACTGGTTCGATTCCCGGTCAGGACACATGCCCAGGTTGTAGACCCGATCCCCAGTGGGGGCCGTGCAGGAGGCGGCCAATCGTTCTCTCCCATCGATGTTTCTCTCTCTCTCTCTTTCCCCCTTCCTCTCTCTCTAAAATCAATAAAGAAAAAAATATTTAAAAAGAGACAGTACTACAAATGAGGCCTCCTGACTCGCAGTGGCTGTGCTCCCATAGTCCAGGGACGAGACCAGCAGCTGGCTTTCGGTTCCAAGGGCGTGCACAGGTGCTCCGTGCCAGCGATTCACTTAAACCCAATGTCACAACAGAGTAAAGTGGTACCTTGACGGACAAGGAAGGGACTTGCTCCTGACAGCAGTGAACAAGCAGGCTCCTGGCTATTCTTGTGTCCATGAGTAGGGGCAGCAGCACTCGATAGACACCCTGCCCCGTCAGCGGTGCAGAGGCCCACCTTCTGCACAGACTTCCCATCCTCCAAGTCAGTGGTTAACTACTCCGAGAGAGTGAGCGCGAGTCAGTCCCTCGCTAGTGGTGGGCTTGGACAGCCCCATGGTTTTCCACCCCTGTCTGCTGTGGTAAAATGAGAAGGTTGACCTTGGTGGCCCCTGAGGTCCTGTCCTGTTCAGGGTGGCTCAGCTCCATGGAGAGCTGTAGTGAGTCTCAACTGGTTTCCAGGGCTCCTCAGGGTGGAATCGCCACAACTGTGCACATAGCAACATGCTTTCAAAGAGCTGAGTGCCTTCTAGTCTCTTCCGTGGCCGTTTTTTCAACACTGTCCTTGAGAGACAACAAACACTATTACTTAAAACCCAAAACCAAGACCCAGATATGTTTAAGTTTCCTAAGATCGTGGATGAAAATCAAAAACCAGGAACCGTCGCCCAGTCCAGCACGCTATCCTCTAAATTAGACAGTACTTCAGGTCACCCTTTTAAACTTCCTTACCAATGTATCTCTTTTCACCCAAAGAGACATCACAAAATACTCCAGCTAATAAGCAGGTTCTACTCCTTCTTACACTTTTTAAAATTTTTTCTTTATTGATTTTGGAGAGAGATGAAGGGAGGAGAGGTAGAAACATCGCTGAGAGAGAACACTGACTGGCCGCCTCCTGCATGCCCCTCACTGGGGACTGGGCCCACAACCTGGGCATGTGCCCTGACCAGGAACTGAACCAGCAACCACTGAGCAACCCGGCTGGGCCTACTTATACTTTTAAATGAATCAGTTTCAACATGTCCAGTATATTATCTCTAAACAAATAATCAAAACACTGTCAATGAAACAAGAGTTAGCCCCCAAAAAGGAGGGGCAGAGTCTAATTATTAGGACAAGAAGGCCCACAGTTTCTGGTTGTGACCTCAGCGATGAAGAAGGTGGGAAGAAATGTTCTGCATGACCATATGCACCTCAGGCCTGGCCAACGGTGGGCTTTGCGACGAATGGCCGAAGCCCCGGAGACTCGGACGCTCCGAAAGGCAAATGCAGGAGAAGGCAGCCTCAGAGCGCCTGGCCCTGGAGAGGCCGCGGGCCTCCCGTTCCTGCACAACCGGAAAGACTGTTCAGTCTCATTGGGCTACTTGGTAACAAGTAAAACATTGAAGCCACTTTCACCACCACACCCCCAAAACTGACTTACAATGAAAGCATGCAGATGGAAAGGACCAAGGCTGACTCACTGAAACTAAGCTGGAGAGGCACAGGACATCCAGAGAGAGAAACAAACGATGCCCTGCATCAGGAAAAGGGCCTAGGGGAAAGTCCTCTACAACGCTACCAGTCTCCCCACCCCCATCTGCTGAAGGACCAGGCCCCACTCTGGGGATTGGTGAATCTCCACCCAGGCATAACCCCCACGCCAACAACATAGGTGGGAACCACTTCAGCTGAGCCTAGGAGAGCCATCCTTGGACATCTAAATGGGGATCTCCCAACTTTGTAAATTTAAAGATTTTCAACTAGAAAAATGTACATTTGCTCCCCTTCTAGGAGCAAAGTACAGGACAGAAAAGCAAAAATCGATGGAGGCCAGACCTCCCAAAATCAGTGTGTGATGGGCACCCCATGGTGGAGCGATAGTGATGATGGGCACCGAGCAATTCAGTCTCCCATGCCCAGCCATCCGTCTCCTTCAGCTCCTGCTCAGGTTGTTCTAAAAATACTGCCTTTAGTAGTGTCAACACTGAGAAGCCTATTTTAATATCAGCTTTGAATTACTTACCAGCTGAGTCAACAGGTATAAAAGAGCGATCGGCACTGGACACACACCCAGACGAACCCGACACGAACACTGAGAAAGGCACACGTTTATTTCCAGCGGCTGACAGACCCCGCTGGAGGCCAAAGCCCAGCGCCACGGGACAGAAATGCAGGCGCTTGGCTGCAGAAGCTGGAGGAGGTCAGGGAAGGGCCTCGAACTGGCATCAGCATCCACAGCGCACCGTGCCCAGAGCCCAGCGTTCCCTCCCGTGTGCAAAATCTTCACACCCAGGGGAGGACCGCGCAGGCCCCAGCAGCCAGGCGGGCACAGTGGGCGTACGGCACGGAACGGGGCCCGAAGGACCGGCGCCTCCGGGAAACCCTGTGCGGCCGCACACCAAGCAGGAGGGCCAGGAGGCCTGGGGCCAGAGGCTGGAAGGAGGGTGAGCGCACCCTGCAGTGCAGGGAGCTCAGGAAACTCGCCCTGCACGCACAGGTCTGTGCCGAGTTCGCAGCAAAGGCAGAGCCGGCCAGCACCCACAGGGGCCAGCACCCACAGGAGCGGGTGTGAGCGGAGGCCACAGGTCCCTGAGAGGTCAAGGTCACCGCGGGTCCCCGAGGGCCGCTGGTGTCACGCTGCTCACGCCTTCCTCCACGCCAAGTTTCACGCACGCTTCTCCCGGACTCCCGTTCGCCCACATCGCGCGCGGGCAGCCTGCCCGTGGACACACGGACACACGGACACGCGGACACGCGGGCAGGTGGCTACGCGCGAGCACTGAGCCGCCCGGCGGAACAAGGGAAGCGGCCGCCGCGGGAGCGCCACCGGCCAGGCCGCGCCGGACGCCGCTCGGCAGGGCCCGCACGGGCCACCCCGCTCGGCTGGAAGGGCGGGCGCCCCGCACCCCGGCTGCCAACGGACGAGGGCCGTCCCCGGCCCCGGTCCCCCTGGAGGGCGGGCAGGCGCTGTCCGAGCCGGCGACCCGCGCGTCCCGGGGAGCCTCGGCCGGCGCTCAGGGGCCGCGGGCGCACCCCGCTCGGAGCCCGCGGGAGGCCGGAGCGCCCGCCCGCCCGCCCGCCCCGCCCGGCCCCGGGCCCGCGCCCACCTCGGCCGTAGGCCTTGGCGCAGATCCACTGCAGGCTGGCGGCGATCTTGGCGCGCGCCGGGTCGTAGCGGTCCAGCGGCACGATGTCCGCGGCGCCGTCGGGCGCGGCCTCCATCCTCCTCCAGCCGTCCCCGGCCGGGCGGCCCGCGTCCACCATCTGCGCGCTCGCGGGCGGCGGCGGGCGCCGGGCAACAAAGGCGCCGCGCGGGCCGCGTGGGGCCGGGGCTGGACACTCGGGCACGACCGCACCGCGCGGGGCCCGCAGGCCGCCCCGCCCCCGCCCGGCCCGCCCGCCTCACCTCAGAGCCGCCGCCGCCGCCGCCGCCGCGGGTGCTGCTGCTGCTGCATGCTCGGGGCGAGCCGGGGTCGCCCCGGGGGCCGGGGAGGCGGGGGGCGCGGGCGGGCGCGGGCCGGGCGGGGGGCGCGTGCGCGGACTCGGGGGGCGGCGGCAGCGGGGGCGGCGGAGACCGCTGAGGAGGCAGCCAACCGGCGGGAGCGCGCGCACCGCCCTGGCCCTGCGCAGGCGCAAGGGGCGCGGGCCGCCGCCCCGCCCTCGCCCCGCCCTCGCCCCGCCCCCTTCCGCAGGCGCAGTGGGCGCTGCCTGAGGCCCCGCCCCCGGCCCTCGCTCGCCCCGCCCTTTCCCGCAGGCGCCTTGGGCGCAGCCCGAAACCCCGCCCTTTCCCGCGGGTGCCGGGCGCGGGGTCGCGCGGCGCGGGCGGCGCGGGCAGACAGGCCCCGGAGGGTCCCGCAGCAGCCCTTTGTCTGGGCCGCGCCTCCTCCGCCCTGGCGCTGGGGCGTCCGGACGAGCGACCCCAGCCCCCGCCGCGCGGAGCCGAGCCCCTCGCGAAAGCCCCTGCGTCCCTGGGGAACCGCGCGGGCCCAGCCCCGGCGCAGCGGACGGCGACCCCACACCCCAGAGCCGCCCCGGGGATTCCCCCTCCCGGACAGCAGCACTGACAGCCGGGGAGGGCCCTCCCACAGCGGGGCTCAGAGTCCGGGGCCCCCGCCCTGGGAGCAGCCCCGGGGGTGCCCTCTCCCCCCAAAGCAGCGCTGGATGCCAGGGGACGCCCCCTCCCGCAGTGGCCCTCGGTGCCAAGGGACCCCTCCCCCAAAGTAGCCCTGGGAGCAGCCCCAGGGGTGCTCCCTCTCCCCAAGCAGCGTTGGGAGCCAGGGGACGCCCCATCCCATCGAGAACCCCGCCCCAGAACAGCTTCCAAATCCCTCCCCGCCCCCTGCAGCGCTCAGAGCCCGGAGGACCCCCCAGAGCCCCGGGACAGGGGACTGAGACCCTGCATTGTTCTCATCCGGGCGCGGCGTTGGGCGCGGGCCTCAGACGCATCCCTGGAGGGGCCGGCTTCGTCCTAACCGGCAGCGTCCGCAGCTGTGTGCAGCTGGGCCTGTAACAGCGGGAGGCGCTTGTGGCCGGTGCTTATCTGAGGGCCTCACGGCCAGGCAGGGCTCCTGCTCCTGTGCCATCGCGGGGTCCAGAAATCCAAGGCCTTGAGGAAGGTGGGAAGAAACAGCTTCCTCTGAGGGAGGTGTCCTGGGAGTGAAGGCCAGGCCGGCTCCCAGCCTCCAGGGGGTTTTAAGGTGCTACCAACCTCCCCTTCACTGAGCCAACCTAAGCCAGAAAGAAGCCCCGGGTGATGAAGCCATGTGAGCTTGGAGGACCCAGGCAGTCAGCAGATGCATTCCTGTACAAGTACAGGCCTCACCGCACCAACCCTGCCCTCCTGCCGTGGCAGGGCTGAGGTCCGGTGAGATGACCCAAGGCTGGCTGCACAGCAGTGCTGGGACCTGCAGGCAGTGAGGGCCAGCGGGGGCACCTGTACGGCAGACAGAACCCTGAGACAGGAGAGCCTGGTACGCAAGAAACAGGCACTGAGCCAGGAACCCAGGCACTGGTAGGAAGCGGGGGTGCAGGGGGCAGATCTGGCACAGTGAGAACTTGGACCTCTTCTCTGACACGGGAAGCCATGAAGGCACTGCATAAGAGGAGTACACGAGAACTCGACTCATTTTCTGTAAGCCTAAAACTGCTCTAGAAGATATATTAATTAGCCCTGGCCAGTTTGGCTCAGCGGTTAGAGCATCAGCCTGTGGTCCACAGAGACCCGGGTTCAGTTCCTGCTAAGGGCATGTACCTTGGCTGCAGTTTGTCCCCGGCCCTGGTTGGGTTGTGTGGGTGGCAGCCACTCAATGTGTCCCTTTCACATTGATGTTTCTCTCTCTTCCTCTCTCTCCTTCCCGCTCTATCTGAATAAAAAATGAGGATAAAAAAATAAATTAAAAAAAAAAAAGATATATTAATTAAAAGAACAAAGCCAACCTGGGACCCAGCTACACAGCCACAGCTGCAAGACCAGCCCCTAACCTGGCCAACCCCCTGCAGCTCCGCTGCCCCAAGAAAAGCCCACAGGCTGGAGGAGGCCCAGGCCTGCCCCACTGAGGCAGCTCCGTCCTCACCCCTCCGGCTTCCCCAGGAACTCGGTCCTGTTCTCTCTTCCACTGGCCTGGCCTATGTTCTCTGGCCACGGTTCATGTGCTCCTCCTCCCCAGCCCAAGGGCTAAGGTCTCCGTGGGTGTCTGCTTCACTGCCGCCCTCCTGTCTGATGCTCATGAGTAACCTCTGAACAGGCCACTGGGACAAGGATGTTCACCGTGGCTGGGTGCAGTGGGGGGCACAGTGGCTCTAGGCACACCAGCACTGTAGGGTGAGCCCTGGCACAGCACAGAACTGGGTGCAGACTGGGCATGGGGAGGCTAGGCCAGCAAGGGCTCCGTCCTCGAAGTTACCATGGACACGACGATCCCATAGCTAACCAACTGCACTGCTGGGAGACACCTGTGGGCACGTCCAGTGATAGATGTCACTCTGAATGCCGGAGGGTCAGCCATTCCCAGATCAGACCTGGCTGACTACCAAACACCATGGCACCCTGACATTCGGTCAAAGACGTTCTCGGGCCAGCCGGGAAGGGGGAGGGCCCAGCCTCCCAACCTTTCCTTCATTACCACTCCCCCAGGGAGGAAAATGCTTATTTGACTTAAACCTAATTAATTGAATTAATTAATTAATGAGAATTTAATTTCCCTGTTGGGAGAAAACTTAACACAAGGGGAGACTTGGGAGATAGGTTGGGCTGTGAAGGAACTTCGACTACCACAATTCTTTACATTTCTTTTGCCTCCCCTCCGCCGGGGAGAAGGGATTTTTGCCCTCAGGAGACAGGATGATCATCCTGGAGAATGCAGGGCTTGGGGGCACCTGGGCAGCCGAAGACCACCGGAGGCCGTGCCACCTGGGCTCAGGTGCTGGTCCCCGCCCATACCTGTGGTGCACAGTCCCCTGGTGGCCTCAGGAGGGCCACCGGCCCTGGGTGGTGTACAGCCAGCCACTGGCTTCTGTGCACCTCTGGAATCCTTCCTGGGGGGCCTGCACTGAGGCCGCCCTGTTCCCCAGCACTTCCCCACCCTTCCTGGGAGCAGCGGCCCCTTACAGAGCCACCCCAGCCGGCCCCCGGAGAGAGAATGCATTTTAAAGATGCAGACTTCATCCTGTACCATTTTACAGGCGCACATTACACAGCTCTTATAAATGAGTTGTTTTCCTGTTTCTGGGTGCTTTATGGAAAAGGCCACTGAGTCCCCAAGGGCTGGCCACCCCTCCTACTCCTTGAATGGAAGGGGAACGGGAGGCTCCAAGATGTCATGCTTGTCAGAGTGAGGCCCCTTGAGGCTGGAGTTGAGGACCAGGGCTGCCTGTGCCTCCGGGGCCAGGGAGGGAGGCAAGAGAAAGGACCCTGAGTTCCCAGGGCTGCTGCTACTTGTTAAACAACAAATGTTCCTCCTTTGGGGGCGGGAGGCCCCTCCTGAGGCTGAGGGAGGCTGCTCCAGGCCTCTCCTGGCTTCTGAGGTGTCATGGCCCTGGGGTTCCTCGCTTGTGGGCCCTCGCTCCAGTCTGCCTCCACCGCTCACGCCTTCTCCTGTCCGCTCACAAGGCTGCCTCCGTGCTGGGCATGTGGGATCAGGGCCCACCCTCGTGACCCTGCTTCAGCTCCCCTCTTTAAAAGCCCCATCTCTGAGTGCAGTCAACCTGAGGTCCTGGGCTTTGGACTCGAGCATCTTTTTGGAGGGACACAATTCAACCTGAGAGTTGCCTATGGTGTGTGAAGGATCTCGGCACGTGATACAGGACACACAGGACCCCTCTCCAGGGCTCCGACCCCCGATCCACCTGTTCACACCTATCACCCCAGTGCTGGCTCACATGTCCGTCCCCTGACCTTAAACCAGGCTTCCGGGAGCCACCCACCCAGGACGCAGTGCCTGCCTGAGCTGAGCATTGCACACCCCTCACTGGAGAGGGACCATGCCCCTCCTCCTCCTCCTCCTCCTCCTTGTGGAGGGGGGCTGTTGGTTCCTCCCTGCTCCAACCTCCTGGATCAGCCTGTCCCCCATCACTTGGGTGCCTCAGCTCCTGCTGCTCTCTGCTGTCCCCTCATCCCTCAGGCTCCTGGGGGTGGGTGAGCCCGGGACTTCCCTGTGGCTCCCCCAGATCTCCTCTCTCAGACAAGCACGAGTTCCTTTCTGCCTGACCCCTCAGCCTGCCCTGTCCACACTGCAGACTTCCCATCCTGCACCATCAGGTGGGCGGCAACTGGGCAATAGAGCGAGGAGACACTGCTTCCTGGTTCCAGCCCTCACGGCAGGACGGGAGGGGCAGGTGGGATGCCTCGAGTGGATGTTGGCATGGTGTGCCAAGTCCCTGTCACCCCAAACCCAACACTGGGGTCTCCCAGCCCTGCGGTCAGGGCCGGCATTTTCTGGAACACTCACCTCTGGCCAGATGACCCTTAGTATCTCCCACCAGCTGCCCTGGAACATGAGTGGCATGGCCAGAACCACGTGCTACGTCCCCTTCTCTGGGACCTGCTCGATTCTGGAGGTAAAATGCTCTCTAAAAGGATAAATTCTGGCCCGGCTGCTGTGGCTCAGTGGTTGAACGTCGACCCTGCACCAAGAGGTCGCCAGTTCGCTTCCTGGCCAGGGCACAGGCCCAGGTTGTGGGCCCCATCCCCATGTAGGGGGCAAGCAGGAGGCGGCCAATCGATGTTCTCTCTCATCGATGTTTCTGTCTCTCTTTCCCTCTCCCTTGCTCTCTCTATAAATCAATAAAGAAAAAAAACTTTTTAAAATAATACAAAATAAAAGGATAAATTCTGAAGCTGTACCCAGAGGGGCCGAGGACTGTACCTCTGTCAACCAGGACAGACGCCCCTCACTTCTTTGGGACCCATTTGACTTAAAACAGCCTTTCGGTTCCCGTGGGGAAGGGGTGCAGGGAGGGCCACTCCGGAGGACATTCCAACAGCCGCCAGGCCCCCAACACCATCACCCGCTAAGTTCAAGAAACCGGCAGATGGCAACCTGCAGGCGGCGGGGCGGAGCCAGGACCCAGAGCCGCTGACAGCTCCGGAGCTCTTGGTCCGGGCACGGGAAGAAGAAGCGGGGCGGCGGGGCCTCGGCCTCCCAGAGGCACTGCCAGGGCTGCCCTGCATCCTGTCCGAGGAGGGCCGGCCACCACGGCCAGAACCTTCTGCGGTTTCCAGGTGTGTGACAGGTACAGGATTTCTTCAACCAAAGCCAGCAGCCTGGCCGCTCCAGCGGCATCGTCACCCGAGACCCACTGGCCTGTGCACCCCTGTGCCTGTTTCCTGGGGGACCAGGCCAGTCCCACCAGACCGCCCGCACAGTCGGGGAGACGCAGAGCCCCCCCACACACACACACACCAGCAGGAAGTGCAGGCAGAGCCCCCAGCAGTGTCGGGGGAGGTTCTTCATGAGGCTGAGACAGCACGACCTTGACGGTTTACTTTATATTTCCATACAGAAGATTCGCATCTGAACCTCAGGAACAATGGGAAGCCTTGCTCTCTGAAACGAAGGACTTCCCTCCCACATCCTCGCCCAGCGGAGACAGGTGAGCACTGAGCTCGGGCTCACGTGGTCCCCGACCTGCTGATGGCAGCCCAGCTAACCCAGGGCAGGTCGGGCAGGTGGGGTGCTTCCAAAGAGAAGTGTAAAGAACATGTCTCCAGCCCGTCATGTGGCTCAGGGGTTGAGCATCACCCGCACCAAGAGGTCGCCAGTTCATTCCCGATCAGGGCACATGCCCAGGTTGTGGGCCAGATCCCCAGTGTGGGGCATGCAGGAGGCAGCCAATCGATGTTCTCTCTCTAAAAATCAATAAAGAGCCTGGGCCGGTTTTGCTCAGTGGTTAGAGCATCGGCCTGTGGTCCAGAGAGACCCGGGTTTGGTTCCCGCTAAGGGCATGTACCTCACTTGCAGTTTGTCCCCAGCCCTGGATGGGTTATGCGGGAGGCAGCCACCCGGTGTGTCCTTTTCACATCAACGTTTTTCTCTGTCTCTCTCTTCTTCTCTCTCCCTCCCACTCTATCTGAACAAGAAATGGAAAAATGTCCTCGGGTGAGGATAAAAAAAAATCAATAAAGACATATTTAAAAAAACAAAACAAAAAAGCCTGTCTCCAACCAACTCCCTTAAACAATAAATAATGAGCAGAGTTCAAAAAAGCAGGGAGTAGGGCATGCTTTCTCATTCTAAATTACAGGCAGTGTTTTCAAAACGGCTGCCCTGGCTGGGCAGGTGAGCTGGTCTGAGCATCAACCCCATGCTCTAAGGTTGCAATTTCAATCCCAGGCAGGACATACAGCAGTCAACCAATGAATGTGCAAGAAAGTGGAACAAATCGACGTTTCTCCCGCCCCACCTCTCTACCTCTGAAATCAATTTTTTAAAAAAGCAGTCAGAGGCAGGGCAGGGGGCAGTCTGTGGGTGCTCCAACTCCACCATCAGAGACCAGGACAGCACCCAGCTGCAGTGACTGCTGGTCCCTTGACAAGGGAAACATGATATGGTGGTGGCGGGAGGCACCTGGGTGGGTGGTGAGCACGCAGACTGCTCAGGATGCGCACACACCGCGTCCCTGGCATTCGAGTAAGAACCACGCTCCCGGAGAGGACAGGAAAGATTTATTCATGGAGGAAGAGTCATCCGTGAATCCTCTACCCGACCGAGTGTGCGTGATGCTAACACTGGACTGGGACACACCACCTTCCCAATAGCAGGTGACTACAAGCAGCGCCTACGGGTCCATTCAAGTAGCATTTCAAGAGCCCAGGGGCCGGGCGGGCAGCCCTCCATGCCCGTCTGTGAACACTGTCGGAGGCCGGGCAGCACTGTGGCACAGCAGTGTCTAAGCAGTAAGACCGGAGCAGGCAGCCAGGGCCGGGCTTAGGTGCAGGGTCCCCTCCAGCCCCGGCCCATCCCCTTCTCGGCCCAGCGGAGCCAGGGGGTCTTCACACTGTCCCCACAACTGGCTGAGGATCAGGGGCCCATTGGGGACCCCCCCTCCCAGCAGCCGCGGGGCCACAGGGCAGAGGCCGCCTAGGTGCGGTTCATGGTCTGGAAGATCCTGGAGATCTGCAGCATGACCGGCCCTGTCTCGGGGTCGTTCATCCACTGCGTGCTGTTCAGCGGGTTCTCGAGCATGTCTTCAAATGCTGAGGGAGAACAGAGCCAGGTGAGTGACCACCGCACGCTCCACACACTCACGTACACATACACACACGTGCGCACACATATACACGAGTGCACACATGTGCATAAACGCACGCGCACACACAGGCACGCACACATGCACACACACTGGCACACCATCCTGGACACACCAGTCCTGGGCCTGCACGCACACTGGCACACTGTCCTGGGCCTGCACACACACTGGCACACCGTCCTGGGCCTGCACACACACTGGCACACCATCCTGGGCACACTGTCCTGGGCACAGCAGTCCTGGGCCTGCACGCACACTGGCACACCGTCCTGGGCACACTGTCCTGGGCCTGCATGCACACTGGCACACCGTCCTGGGCACACTGTCCTGGGCCTGCACGCACACTAACACACCGTCCTGGGCACACTGTCCTGGGCCTGCACACACACTGGCACACCGTCCTGGGCACACTGTCCTGGGCCTGCACACACACTGGCACACTGTCCTGGGCCTGCACACACACTAACACACCGTCCTGGGCACACTGTCCTGGGCCTGCACACACACTGGCACACCGTCCTGGGCCTGCACACACACTGGCACACCGTCCTGGGCACACTGTCCTGGGCCTGCACACACACTAACACACCGTCCTGGGCACAGCAGTCCTGGGCCTGCACACACACTGGCACACTGTCCTGGGCACAGCAGTTCTGGGCCACAGCTATCAGGGATGTTAAAAACAGGGCCACGACTCAGCGATTTCACTTCTGATCCTGCCCTGACAGTGATCAGATGAAGAAGAGACTCACATACAAAGACACTGTTGTAAAGATGATGATATCTGATTGGAAAACTCAGAATGTTTGATCTTAAGAACAAGACTTTAAAGAAAATGCACATTAAAAACGTAACTCAGGCCCTGGCCAGTTTGGCTCAGGCCCTGGCTGGTTTGGCTCAGCAGTTAGAGCGTTGGCTTGCGGTCCAGAGAGTCCCGGTTTGGTTCCTGCTAAGGGCATGTACTTCGGTTACAGTTTGTCCCAGGCCCTGGTTGGTCGTGTGGGTGGCAGCCACTCAATGCGTCCCTTTGGCAGCCACTCAATGTGTCCCTTTCACGTCGATGTTTCTCTCTCTCTCTCTCTCTTCCTCCTGCTCTATCTAAACAAAAAATGAAAAAATGTCCTCAGGTGAGGATAAAAAACAAACAAACAAAAAAAACTCAGCCGGGCTGATGTGGCTCAGTGGACTAAGCATCATCCCATGGGCTGAGAGGTACCGGTTCCATTCTGGGTCAGGGCAATGCCCAAGTTGCAGGTTCGATCCCCAGTAGGGGGTGTGCAGGAGGCAGCGGACTGATGTTTCTCTCTCACATTGGTATTTCTCTCTCTCCTCCTTCCTCTCTCTCTAAAATATCAATTAAAAAAAAAGGCCCCATTTTAACTGCTCCACACTCTGGTGGGAGCGGGGTTGTTGGAGGGATTTAGCAAAAAGTAAAAGACAGAGAGAACCCATGGGCATTGACAAGAGTGTGGTGGTAACTGCGGAGGTGGGGGTGGGAGAGAGCACAGAGGCGAGAAATGATGATGGAAAAATAAAATAAAGCAGCCCTGGCTGGTTTGGCTCAGAGGCTAGAGCTCCAGCCCATGCACCAAGAAGTCACAGGTTCAATTCCCGATCGGGGGCATGTAACGGGCACTGGGTGGGGGCAGTCAGGACGCCCAGAGGCTCCTGAAGGCTTGGAATGAATGCTCTTGGCTTTTTAAACAGTGTTTTGTTTTAAAGCCAAATGGTAGGCGTGTACTCATTTATTTTACTATCATTCCTTAAAGTTACAAGAGTTGTATGTTTATTACATACTTCTGGACGTATATTCTATTTCACAGACAGAAAGATGCCAAAGCAGCGCCCCACCATCACCAGAGCAGATGCAGACGCCTCCGCTCGTGGGCCCAGCCACTGGGTGTAGCCTGCACTGGACAGACGACCCACTGCACCTGCTTGTTCCCAGCCTGCTGGGTGCGGCCCGCTCTGGACAGACGACCCACTGCACCTGCCTGCAGAGTCATCGCCCGGGAGCTTGCTCACCACAAGCAGAACCTGATTCCCGGCCCCACGGTGACTCAGGAGGGAGCCACACTGAGGAGGCTCATGGGCAGGGACCGCTCCCAGGCGCGGCCGCGGTGTCTATCACTCGGGAACATCTGCGTGTTCTGGGCGGGTCCCACCAGCAGCATGCAGGAGGCTCACATACCTAGTAGTGTTTTCGGGTTGGTGAGGCCCAGCTGCACAACGGGGTTATCCAGGATGGCCTGAAAGAGGGGGCTGTCGGGGTCGATGCCCTTGTCCAGCTCCTCAGGGGAGGGCTTCCGGTCCCCCAGCAGCCACTCGCACTGCGAGACAAGAACAGCAGGTGCTATCAGCGCCTCTGGGGACCGTCACCATCGAGCAGGCATCTCGCTGGCAGGGCCCGACAAGACCGCAAAGTGACTCCGGGCCTTGGAGTTAGGACAGGCTGGCGAGGAAGGAAGTGCCACTGATTTTCTTGGCACTAGGGGTCAACTGAGTAGCTGCAACCTCCCCGGTTACTGAATGGGGCGCAATGCAACCCCCATACAACGCTGCGCAGACGTGAAGAGACACACAGCGCCGAGACCTGTTCTAGGGGAGGAGTCCGGGGCAGGCGTTCCCAGGATGGCCCCTCCTGCAGCCAGCCGCCCGGTCCTGCCCCCTTCACCCAGCTCTGCTGCCCGGAGCGAGCGTCTCCAGCCCCCACTGAGCACACCCTAGGGTCAGCGCCATCAGCAGCCGCCGTGTGTTCACGAGGTGGACTCTGTCTCGGAATGAGTGCAACCACATAAGTGAAGTGCACACTCAGAGAACGTGTACGTTCCTGCACAGCAGCGGCCTGTGACAGCCCCACATGGAGCAGCCCCCGCGAGGCTCGCACGCCCGGCCCGGACTCACGGCGGCGCTCTGCTGGTTGTTGTTCACTCTCAGGGCGTCCATCACCTCCTTCTCGTCGAACCCCATCTCCATCAGGGAAATGACGGCCTGCGGGAGAAGCCAGAGCCCTCAGTGCCAGGCGCTGGGACGTGGAGCAAACCCCGGAGCCGCACTCCGGCCCTCAGGGCGGGTTCACGGGCACCACGGGGCAGGGGCTCTTGTGGACACTGGATGGCTGTTCTCCGCTCTCCCCACAGGTTTCTTGGCCACCGCAGGCCTCAGAGGGAGGGGGTGGGCGACCTGCCCTGGGCTAGACCAGACCAGTGGGTGGGACGCTGCGTACCAGGCGCAGAGGCAGCGGCTCGCTGTGGATCCTGCAGGGCAGGCCGAGCGGTCTGGACAGAACCGGCCCCCAGCCCCACAGGCCTAGCCGGGGAGCCTCACCCCAGGAGGGTGGTGTCAGAGAAAGACGTAAGAAAACCTTTTTTGTGAAAAAGGGAATTTCCTTCACATTCTGTCTTTAAGAAAAATGAAAGTAAAATTAATTTTAAATATCTCATACGTAACAACACCTAGGCCCCTGCGTGCCTGACGCAGCCAACCTCTGGAGCGATGGAGCCGGCCGCGAGTCTCCTTGGAGGACATGCCCCTCCCCTCACTGTCTTCTCTGCACTTACCCTCAGACAGAGTGGGGGGAGAGGGAGGAACAGAGAGAGAGACATCGATGTGAAAGGGACACATCGACTGGTCGCCACCCACACGACCCAACCAGGCTGGGGACAAACTGCAACCGAGGTGCGTGCCCTTAGCGGGAACCGAACCCAGGTCTCTCCGGACCACAGGCCAACATTCTAACTGCTGAGCCAAACCGGCCAGAGCTCACTTCACTGAGACTCAACTGTGTTTCTAAAAAAAGGACAAGGTTTCTTCAAGTTTTCAAGGGCTTCTCTTAATTCTCTGAAAGTCGAATCACACTGTCCTGAAGTCCCCACAGCCTTTTTTCCTCCCAACATCCTGCCATCCTTCACGGCCTGATTCTGACCCGCAGCGCCTGTGCACAGACGCCGTCCTGTGCGGGATGCGGCCTTCCCTGGCCTCCGCCAGACGGGGTGTCAGAGGCTCCAAAGAGAACTCGGGAAAGAGCCTGAGGCGCCCGACTGCTCTGCGAGCTCCCAGCCCGTGCTTCCTCGTCCTGCGGCCCACAGGCTTCCCCGGCCCCTCCCCTGCAGGTCGCGCTGAATGAAGTCCCGTATGGGAGTCACGTGAAAGTGCCTGGATCCTACTGCTGAACTGGGCAGGCGTCCTCTCCACCCTGCTGTCTCAGCCTGGGAAGACACCCACACTTCCAAGTGGTGACACACAGGGACGCCCCCTCACGGGAGCCCTGGGACAGGGGCCTGGCGCCCAGGGCTCTCCTGTCCACGGCCGGGGGTGGGGCTCCCGTCGCAGCCCTGCTCTCCCACCGTCGCCCTGCACACGGTGGCACCCCCGCAGGACCGGGTGGCCCCTAAGCGGGCAGCTCAGGGGCTGCTCCCCCATCATACAGATCAGAGGCAGCGGGCAAAGGCCCGGCCCTCAGGCCCTGACTCGTTCGCAGCAGCTGCTGCAGAGGGCACACCCACGGACGGGGCGGCGGACAGGAGCACTCGGACGGCACTGCTGGGAAGGCACCCTCGCGGGGCCACACGGAGCAGACCGACCTGGCCCGCACGGCCCCACAAGCGCCTGGCAGGATCCCCACGGCGACAGGGAGGCCCCAGGGAGCGGCGCCCATTCCAAATGGGCTCCTGTGCCGGACACGGCCCTGGAGACCTGGAGACACATTTTCTTCTCCACCACACGCTTCGAAGTGCACAGGGATCTCACAGGAAGGAGAATCCCCAAGTGACAGGCACTAAGAAGGAACAGCCCAGCTGGTACAAGGGGGAGCTGGGAGAGGGCATAGGCTCAGGGCCTGAGTGTCAGGTCCGATGTCCACACAGACAGCACAAGGACCCTGGGTCCAGGCCTGAGAAGGAAGGGCCTGTGCCAGAAAGGAGGAGCTGGACACAGACGGCACCTCCGCAGGACAGAGGCTGCCCCAGATCAGGGCTCAAGCCAGGTCCTTGTCCCGAGCCCTGCCCGGAGGGGCCCTGGTGGCAGGTCCCGCTCAGCCGCAGGAGCCAGCTGTGTCACCGAGGTGGGCCTCCCGCAAGCGGCCGAGTTAGAGCCGCAGAAACAGGCCAGGGAGAGCTGCCCCGAGCAGGACACGAGGACCAGAGCCGACGCCAGTGCGAGAGGAACGGCTCCGGCGAGGACAGTGTCCAGGGAGAACGGAAGGCTCGCAGGGCTGGGCTGGAGACAACAGGAGGGCTACAGAAGCATCGGAGCCAAGGGGACAGCGAGAGCTGGCCACCACAGCCAGGTCCCTGCCGTGAGGCCCACAGCCCCCCCAGGCAATCCCACACGGTGCGGTGCACCCCCAGACCCTGCGGCTCGTGGGCACTGGAGACCAGAAGCCCCGAGCTCGCAGGCAAGATGTGCTGACTGGCTGTTCGGAGGGAGCCACGGCCGCCTGGCCCAGCGAGGACGGGAGCTGAACTCCCGGAACTCAGGCCGGCCCAGGCCTCCCCCAGCTCCAGCCCCTGCAGACCCGGTTCCCTCGGGGCCAGCGACGCAGCTCAGGCAGTGCAGCCTCGAGGGGACACACAGCCGGTCTACCTGCCGAGTCCAGGCTCAAAGACACGTACCCGAGCGTCAGCCCGGAACCCCCTTTTCCTTCGGATCTTCTTGAAGATTTCTGTCAGCTCGTCTCTGGCCTCCTCGTCATCCTCACTGGAGCCCGCAGCCGCCTCGGCCGGAGCCTCGGCCGGAGCTTCGGCCCCCGCCACGCCGGGCGAGGCTTGGCCGGGAAGAGGCGTGTCTATGGCCGGGTCGTCCGCGTGCTCGATCAGCCACTCCATGGCTTGAGGCACCGACATGCTGAAAGGTGACGAGAGCCTTTCAGTCCCTCGCACCGAGGAAAGCACTGCGATTTGAACGACTCTGCTGGCGGCAGCGCTGGCCCCGGCGATGAGCCTTCACACAGGTGCGCGTGAGCTCAGGCCCCAGCCACCCGAGGCCAGGCCCGAGCACAGAAACCACTTCCTCAGCAAAGGGAGCCCATCCATGAGGGGCACCTGAGGGGTCAGGACCAAGGCCAGGGGACAAGGCCTGGCCCATCCTTTGGGTGACAGGCGGTCTGAGGCCTGAATGCAGATGCGGAGACGAGGTAACCCTGCACCCTGTTGTCAGAGCCCCAGCTGGGGGCGGGCTTCCCTCGGGCTCCAGCTACCCCTGGGGCTTGCACAAAGTAACTCTCACACTAGGAACAACTCAACCGGGGCGTGAGGGGCAGAGGGACACCCTGCGGGAGACCCAGGGCAGGAGGCGCGACGTACTGGCTCAGCCGAAGCGCCTTCAGGGCTCTGCTCTCGGGAAAGCCCATCTCCGTGAGCTGCCGCAGTGCCGTCTCGTCCACCCGCTCGTCCTCATCCTCGTCCAGCATCGCTGCAAGAGAGACATGGGCCTGTGAGGGGCCCTGGCAGGGCCGCCCTCGAGGGATGCTTTCTGGGGCTCCTGGGAACCCTAGGGCCCCTCTGAGCACCAAACATTTGTGGTAATTCTGCTGAACCCCAGAAAACCAGGGCACAACCATCAGCTCTCACCCGCACAACCAGGAGCAGTGGGGTGAGGCTGCACTGCCCACGTCAACCCTGTTCCAGCTTCAGGGTTCGGGGCAGACTCCCGGACGCGGGCGAGTACGGGGCCGAACATGGCGACACCGCCCGGCCCAGCACACCGCACGCCGTTGGCCTTCATCCACAGCCCACCGCCCCGGCTGGCACGCACCATTGGCCTTCATCCACAGCCCACCGCCCCGGCTGGCACGCACCGTTGGCCTTCATCCACAGCCCACCGCCCGGCTGGCACGCACCGTTGGCCTTCGCGAACAGCTCCACTGCGCCGGGGCTCAGCGCCAACAGCTTCTGTGCCACCTCGATGAGGGACAGCAGGATCTTCCGGAGCTCCGTCTGGAACTGGGGAGGGAAAGGGCCTGCTTCACCGAATGCCCAGGAGCACTAGGAGGCGCCGCGCTCCATCTAACCCACGTCTGTGCACCAAGCTATGCTGCTCTTCACTCCACAACGCAGGCCCGCAGGCCCGGGGAAGGAAGAGGGGAGAGACCCCAGCTCAGGAGGGCTGAGTGGGGGAGGGGCTGTCGGCACAGGGCTGCGCACACGGCCTTGCGGCTGGTGACACACGGAACGCTGGTGACCCTGCTCAGCCCAGACCACGGACGGGACTGGGGATCAGCAGCCCCCTCTGACCCACAGCCAGCCTCAGCCATCGAGAGAAAGACCACATGGGGACACCCAGGCTGGGGAGAGACCCTGGCAGTGGCCTGTTGCTACAATGGAGCAGGGCTGGGGCGGTGCTGAGACGAGTGGGGGACGAGCCAAGGGGGTGACCCCTCTCCCTGCAGCACAGGCCTGCGTGCGGGAGTCCAGGGGACAGAGCAGTCTGCTCCTCCCCGACAGCTCCACAGAAAGTCACTGGAGCCTGTGCAGACCGCCGTCTGGGCTTCCGCCAGACAGAACAGGCTGACGTTCAAGCATCTGCCCTTCCAGTCCTGCCTTCAAATGTCCTAAAACTTTCTGAGAAAAAGGTTAGGTTTGTAGAAAAGTTGCAAAAAGTACATAGAGTTCTGATGTCTCTTCCATCCAGCTCCCCCAATACCTCTAACTTCCAGTCCACCCCACAGTGCTGACACTCCCTCCCCCGACACAGTGGTGATGACTCCGTGCAGGGGTGAGGGGGACCCCTCCCCCTACAGAGGTGATGAGGATCCCCTCCCCCCACCCTGCAGAGGTGATGAGGATCCCCTCCCCCCACCCTGCAGAGGTGATGAGGATCCCTGCCCCCTGCAGAGGTGATGAGGATCCCCTCCCCCCACCCCCCAGAGGTGATGAGGACCACCCCCCCACCCCCCCCACCCCCCACAGTGGTGGGACCTCCCAGCGGCACTCACATCTCTCATGCTGGTCTGGACCACGGCCCGGTCCATGTTGCAGGCCGGCAGGCTGGCAGTGGCTCGGACGATTGCATCTCTGTCTGGGGCTTTCTGGTCTTGTTTTTTCTACACAGAAACGTAATCAGAGTCAGAAGTGAACGTGAGAATAAGTGGCAAGAACAGCTCTGACCTGGGACAGTCGTTCTCCCTGGGAGGCGGGTGTGTGGGGAGGGTCTGAAGGGTGTGTACACGCCCCCAGCAGCAGAGGACAGGCTGCTTGGGACACACCCTCCACCTCTGTAAGGACTGCAGCAGCGCAGGCCGGACACTGTCTCTCGTGGCTACAGCAGGACCAACGTGCGGGAGCTTCAGGTAGGCGGGGGCGAGGCCAGCCAGGCCCTCACACCACCTGCTGCACCCGACGCCCCTGCGCACAGTGAAGGAGGGACGGTGGCAGAAACGATGAGGACAAAGGGCAGGAGAGGAAACAGGCCAACTGACACCACCAATCCTGAGACCCAGAGCTGCGGAGGGAGCAGCCTGCAGGGACCAGGCCAGACCCCGAGCAGGGGGCAGTGCCCAGAGCGGGTGAGGGGCTGGGATGGGGCTCCTCTACCAGCCTGCCCAGCCCAAAACACGCTGGAGAAAGCCAACAGGAGAAGCCCTGAGCCAGGGAGCCTGGGCACAGCAGAGGGAGATGGTGCCTTCCTGACCCTCGAGGAGCCCCGCCCCGCACAGCTCCCTGCCTGCTTGGGGTGGGAGGGCACAATGGCCGGGTCTCAGTCCCGCAGTGAAGCCACCAGCGGCATCGCCTCTCCCAGGGCTTCTCACAGGGAGGGACAGCCTCGGGGCGCCGGGGTGTGAGGGAGCCTCCACGGCAGAGACGGGCCGAAGGAGCACAGGTGAAAGGAAGGAGCGAGCGCCGTGGGGACAGGGGCCTGCACAGCAGGAGCACATCCCACGGCAGAGACAGAGGCCGCAGGAGCACAGGTGAAAGGAGGAGCGAGCGCCGTGGGGACAGGGGCCTGCACAGCAGGAGCACATCCCACGGCAGAGACAGGGGCCGAAGGAGCACAGGTGGAAGGAGGAGCGAGCGCCGTGGGGACTGGGGCCTGCACAGCAGGAGCACATCCCACGGCAGAGACAGAGGCCGCAGGAGCACAGGTGAAAGGAGGAGCAAGCGCTGTGGGGACAGGGGCCTGCACAGCAGGAGCACATCCCACGGCAGAGACAGGGGCCGCAGGAGCACAGGTGAAAGGAGGAGCGAGCGCCGTGGGGACTGGGGCCTGCACAGCAGGAGCACATCCCACGGCAGAGACAGGGGCCGAAGGAGCACAGGTGGAAGGAGGAGCGAGCGCTGTGGGGACAGGGGCCTGCACAGCAGGAGCACATCCCACGGCAGAGACAGGGGCCGAAGGAGCACAGGTGAAAGGAGGAGCGAGCGCCGTGGGGACAGGGGCCTGCACAGCAGGAGCACATCCCACGGCAGAGACAGGGGCCGAAGGAGCACAGGTGAGAGGAGGAGCGAGCGCCGTGGGGACAGGGGCCTGCACAGCAGGAGCACATCCCACGGCAGAGACAGGGCACTGGGGAGACGGGCTGGGAGCAAGAGCCCACGGGAGACAGAAATATCCCAGCCCAACGAGAACAGCTGCAGGTGGAAGACAAAGTAGGGGGCCTCAGAAGCAGCCCCAACACCCAACTGACAACAGTTCGAATGAGAAAAGAGAAAATAAGAAGTTACCCAAAACAACCCAGAAAAACTTCAGAATATGAGAAACTCCAGCTTCAACATGCCAGGCAAACCATGACATTTCAGAACTCCGAGGGGTGCTAGGAGAACCTCAACAATTCCAGAGGGGCTGGGGCAGTGAAGAGGGCCAGGGCCACTGGCCCACCTGCTCCCCACACCCTGGCCACTCAGGCATACTGCTGCCTAACTCCCAGCCCCGCCTGGAGCGCAGGGTCTCCAGAATGCCTTCCTTCCGGGATGCCAGAGGATCGCAGTCGGCCCCCAGGCCTGCCTGCATCTCCCTGGGCCCATGAGCAGGATGGGTTCACTGGTGTCGTGTCATACGGCACAGCCCACTTTAAGAAAAGGTGGCGGTGGTGGGCCTGACCTGACCAGACAGGCCCTTCTGGCTGGTGGGAGTCAACACAGGAGACACTGGATGCCGGTCCAGAGACACAGGGCCGAGGGCCGCGGCACACACAGCCCCAGAGCGGAACGCAGCCCGGGGACAGCCGGAACTCACCGACCTTGTGGCCTGGGAGCCGCGCTGTTTGGGCCGTGGCAATGCTCAGTGGCACCAGGACACGGACTGAGACCCACAGGGTTCAGAGGCTCCATCCGGCCCAGGAGCGACCAGAGGCGGGGAGCACTGACCCTCCGGGACCACCAGGGTGTGACTCAGAGATGGGCCGGGAAGAGAGTTATTGAAGGAACAGGTGAAAGAGGTTCGGGCTGCCTGCCTTCAGGGTGCCTGGTGCAGGAGGGAGAGGAGGCCACCCATTCTCATTAAAAATGTATAGGCCCTGGCCGGTTTGGCTCAGCGGTTGGAGCGTCGGCCTGCGGTACAGAGAGACCCGGGTTCGGTTTCCGCTAAGGGCATGTACCTCAGTTGCAGTTTGTCCCTGGCCCTGGTTGGTCGTGCGGGAGGCAGCCACTCGATGTGTCCCTTTCACGTCGATGTTTCTCTCTCTCTTCCTCTCTCTCTCCCCCTCTCTCCCGCCCGCTCTATCTGAACAAAAAATGGAAAAATGTCCTCGGGTGAGGATAAAAAAAAAAAAAAAAATTTATAGTATAATTTGACTTTTTTTTATACTCACCTGAAGACGTTTTTTTTCCATTTTTTGTTCAGATAGAGTGGGAGGGGGAGAGAGAGAGAAACATCGATGTGAAAAGGGCACATCGAGTGGCTGCCTCCCACACGACCAACCAGGGCCAGGGACAAACTGCAACCGAGGTGTGTGCCCTTAGCAAAAAGGGGCCAGGGTCTCTCTGGACCACAGGCCAACGCTCTAACCGCTGAGCCAAACCAGCCAGGGCACGATTTGACTTTTTAAATACACATGTTTCCACTTAAAATGAACAATCCCCAGAACGTACCAGCATCTCACAACCCTCAATCTGCAAACGTGTGTGGAGAAGGGGCTGGGAGCCTGGCGGAGGCTGAGAGGGCCGTGCAGCCCAGCAGCCCCGGAAGTGGCCAGACTCAGGGTGGCAGAGGCAGGCCCGGGTCTGTCTCCCCAAGATGGGCTGAGCAGCTGCGCCGGGCCAGCTGTGGTGGCAGATAAGAGCCACTCGAAGGCACCCCTCCCTCGCCTCCCGCCCCAGAGGGGGCCCTGAAGCAGGACCCGGCCCTCTCAGCCCCGTGCCCTGCTCATGCCTGCGCGTCAGAGCACGAATCAGAAACTTTGTACCTGAAGATGAGAAGGAAAAATTGTGAACTAAAGTGAGTGCCCCTTTAAAACAGCACACTCGGCACTGGGTGGACCACCTGTGCGACCAGAAAAGGCCTACGGAAGGACACACGACCCCATGCATACAGCCTCCTGCACCCGAGCGCGCACCCCGAGGCTCCAGAAGTAGGCGCAGGCGCACGCGGACCCAGGGACCCCTGCTTCTGTCCCAAGGTGCGCGCCAGACAGGGGCCAGGCTGTAGGAACCCACTCGGGGCAGGCGACAGCACCGTCCCTCCCTGCCCTGCAGTGTGCTCCCGCTCAATGAGCTTTCTGTCATAACGGGTGTGGGGACACACCGTGGTTTGCAGGGCATGGCTGTGGGCCCCACCACGAGAACACCCGCAGCCCCTCAGCTCCAGCCCTAAGCTGAGCCAGGCGTCCCAGGGCCGGTCATGTGACCAGTAGCTGGGCCAGGCACCTGCCACTCATGCAGCCGAGACGTAACCCCCTGGTCTGTGCACAGCGAGCACACACAACGCGTGTCTGAGGGCTCCAGTGGGCGAGACTCTTACCAACAGACCCGCAACTCCCAGCGTGGACACTCACCTTCTCCTCTGCCGAGACGTCGGCCATCTTGGGGAGTGGAGACGGTGCGCGCTTTTTCACCAGCAACAGGACATCTAGGAAACACGTCCATCCAGCTGGTCACTGTTCAGGCTCACAGAACAGCTGGACGTCCAAGGACAGAAAGCGGGGGTTCCCTCGGGTGCTTCCTGCACCAGTGTCTGCACGAGGCCACATCCCCTGTCTGCAGCCCTGGCTCATACAGGCTCCGGGCTGGGCAAGAGCTGGCTGGGGTCACGGAGGTGACCAGTGGCCCAGGAGCCACCTGCCCAGCCCTGACCACTGTGCAGAACACCAGTGAGATCTTGCGAAATGCCCTCACTTCAGTGGGCCATCTGGAAGTTTGTGAGGCTGGAGCTGTGGTCAACCACAGCCCACCGTGGGGGCAGCTCCCACCTGGCTCTGGTCGCGACCACCACACTGGATGGAGGTCTGTAGACACTCCCTGTGTTTTCCAAACAGACTGTTTAAGGGAACCCAGAATCAAAGCATCCTCTGATGAGATTAGGAAACCAAGTCTCAGCGCCCGGACGCCTGCTGAGAGGTCTGCTCCGGAGCAGAGCGGAAAGTGAAGCTCACACTGGCTCCTGGGAGGATGCTGCCTGTTCAGCGCCGGTCTCCTCCTGGTTCTCACCAGTGTCCCACCACGCCCACTGGGCTAGCAAAGGGAGGAGAGCTGGTCTCCTGCTCAGATGCTGCTCAAGGTGGACCCTGACTCACACTCAGGGCGCCCTTCCTCTGGCCTGGCCCCGCCCCCACCGCAGCCCCGCCGCTCACCGTGGTCATGGATGTTCTCCTCCAACATGGTCTTGGCATCGCTCAGCACCCTCTCTGAAGCAGCGTGTATTAATTTGTGATGGGTGACACTTTTGGGGTCTTCTAGGTTCCCATGAGTACACTGGGGGGAAAATCAAACGTTACAAGCCAGAAAGTAAGTGAACTGTAATATTAGTAACAGAAAACCTGGCACCACAGGCCACACCAGGAATCCGACAGGTTTCCTACCAGCTAAGAAAGGAAATCAAAGAATTCTGGCCACTGACAAGCCAAGTGGAATGCCACAACGCCGCCCCCCGGCCAGCGATCTGCCCACCAGCCCACTCTGGACTCCTGACGGGGCTGCAGCTCTGAGGAGTAATTTTAAAATGAAAATAGGTGCCTGGTGTCCTGAAAATCTGCAGGTCTATTTTGTGTACTTGTTTTCTTTTCTGCACAGAAGGGGGAGACAGCTGAGAGAGAAGGCTGGTCCACAGAGGGCAATGGACAGGGGTCTGGCCACTAAATCCCCGCAAATCCCCAAGGAGACACCTGCAGGCAGCTCAGCTCTGGCTCACCAAGCAATGGCCAGAGACCCAAAGCTACCGGTGCTGTTGGGGGGCCTCTCCTGGAAGAGCAGAAGGGACAGACACGTAGTGTGTCTTACTGACCAGGGCCATGGGACGGGACCCTCTGAGCACCTCACCCACACGCAGAAGGCCCTGGAGGCAGGACAGAGCAGCACAGAACCAGCAGCGCACCCCAATGCACTCGCATCCCTTCCCCTCCCCGCACCCTGAAGCCACAGGCCCCCAGCTCCCTGCCCTCCTCTGCTACGCCCGGCTCACCATCCCCACCAGGGCCCTCTGCAAAACAGCACGCACTTGGTGCCTGCGCATCACCGCCCAGAGCGACAAGCTCTGCTCTCCTTGGCTGGCTGAGGGGCGAGCACACACTGACAGCCAGGTGTGCAGACTCGGGAGCGCGCTGGGCGGCACATTGCACATCACACCTAACATGGCACCACCTGGACAACTGCGGCCCTTCCCGGGCTGAGCCGAATGAGGCACACCTGAACCCTTCAGGTGAGACCCAGACGCTTCTGCAGCCTGGGCTGACTCCCCTCAGCTCCACACAAGGAGCGGCCCTCTCCTTGGGCCGGTGCTTCCCCAGTCAGAGGGTGGAATGAGCACCAGGAGGCGGAAGCCAGGCTCTGCTCCCAGGGGACGCAGGAGCACCTGTGTGTGCAGCGGAGGGGGGGAGCGAGCGCTGTCCGGGCTAAAGGCTGGCTGCGGCATCACTCAGGACGTGCCTCAGCCCCGGGTCCTGTGGCCTTCCCTGTGTCCAAGTGGACTGACCCGACGGAAGCTCCCTCATCACCTTCCTCGGCCCCCGTGGAGGCTCAGACAGCAGCTGCTCATCAGGAATGGAACCTCAGTGCCTGCTTCACTTCCCAGCCAGCACCCGGAGTAAACAGGATTTCCGTCTCTGACACGGAGAAAGACAGGGATCAGAGGCTTCCGGGGCCATCACCATGCTCACAAACTGGCAAGGTGGGGGCTGGGGGCGGCAGCCCATAGTAAGATACGCTTCCACTGTTACTGACAGTGCAGAGAACCACCCGCCTCTTCCCTAGAATTCAACAATGGCTCTGCTCCCAGAACTATTGGGCATGCTCCTTCTAATCCCAAAATGCGCGGGCCAGTGGGTTTGGTAAGTTCAGAATACAGTCTATGAAGCACAGGTTTCCAAAACAACCTCACGCTGGTTCCTGAGCAAACGCCTGCCACATGTCACCAGCACGCCAGAGAGACGCCCGCAAGATGCTCCATGCCTTCACTCGGTCTCTTTGTTCTCAGCAGAAGCCTGAGCAAACCAGGGTACAGCCACACAACGCCCACAAAGCCCACGGCTGGGGCAGGGAGGCTCTGACACCTACCGAACCTGCTCCTCCCCAGAACAGGGCTGGAGTGTCTCTGACACCTGATGCAACTGGTCATCTGAAGATACACCTTCACGCAGCCTAGGAAACGCCGCTGGCACGACGCTATGTGCTGCAACACCGTGGACGGTCCCAGACACGGACACCCCAGCACAGCACAGGTGTCGTTTCCTTAAAGTCACTAAACTCCTTTACAGACCTTACACAAGATGGTTCCCTTTGTCCCTTCCTGTCCTCCCAGGCAAGGGAGCTAGAGACAACCACGGTGATCCCCATTTGTGCCAAACCAAAGAGGGAGTGGCGACAACGGTGTTAACTTCTTTCAGAGTGCCGGTAATAAACCCTCCAAAAAGCAATCCAGCCCAGGAGAGGGGAGGGAGGAGGAAGGGACACCAGCTTAGCACGCACCAGGGGAACCCTGGGAGGAGGAACATGAGCTCAGACACACCCAGCAGCCGGGCAGCATGACATTCAGGGACTGGTTTCCAGGGTGACATTCAAGCGCACAACTTGAGAATCCCCTCTGCTGCCTAAGGCCTCTGATGGACAGCACGGAGGTGCCACACTTTCTGACAGTTCGGCTCTGAGCCCTGATTTACGTCAGCCCTTCGGTGTGACACTCCCCTGGGGTCAGACCCCCCACACCCGGACAGACTTCAGAGTGCGATACAATCTCCACATAAAGTAGGATATGCCCGGAAAATCCCAAATGACACATCTCAATACCGGCGGGAACAAAAGAACGAACCTCATACTGAGCGGGGCCGCCTAATTAGCCCCAAGTGCTCCTGAAATCCAGCGGCAAGCATCTTCCAGTCAATCCAACACCCCTCATTTCCTGTTCCCCTCCATAAAACGTAACAGTTATGTAAATGAGTTGAAATAAACGCCACATGGTTTTACCCACAGACTCCCCCTGCCTGCCTCGCAGGTCTGTCCCTGCCAGTCTGGACTGCCAGTCTCTCTCCACTTATCCTGTGAGACCACATGCTAGTCTGGGGCCCACTGAGAGCCTGGCCCTGGCCATGGGGACCAGAACCCACCCTCCAGGAGCTTCCTTCCTGGGTGGGGGAGGACACGACATCTTGGTGCCTGGCTCCCACAGGCCAGATGCTGGAGCCCCGGCCTCCCACCTAGTGCTGTCCTGTGGCTGTCCAGAGGGTGAGACCACAGCACAGTGTGGTGATTGCCAGGGTGAGGGGGTGGGTGGAGGTGGAAGACAGTAGAGGGGGGATAAATAAATGGTGGTACAAAAAATAAAATAAAGAAAAAGAAGTCAGTTTTTAAAAAAAAATTTTTTTTTTTCTTTATTGATTTGAGAGAGAGAGGAAGGGAGAGAAAGAGAGGGATAGAAACATGGATGAGAGAGAACATCGACTGGCTGCCTCCTGCATGCCCCCCACTGGGGATCCGGCCCACAACCTGGGCATGTGTCCCGACTGGGAATCGAACCAGCCACCTCTCAGTGCAGGGTCGACGCTCAACCACTGAGCCACACCAGCCAGGCAGAAGTCAATTTTAAAAAAGAAAGAAAGAAACCACACCAAGTGGGTCAGAAGAAAACCAACGGAATGCCCAACATCCCTGGTCCTCAGGCAGAGCAGGAGTCCTCCTCCCCACGGAGCTGGGGGCCCAGACAGCACACATCCCCAGAGCCGCCCTCACTGGGTGACTCAAAAGCCTCTCTGTGGGTAGTTGCCGTAACTGGAAGTCGATCCTCAGAGAGGACACTTAGCACTGTTTTAACAAAACCCCTTGTCACGGGGAACCACGTGGACACATTACAAGGCTGAGTGCAGCCTCTTCAACCTAAACTCTGGGCAGGAAACAAGACTCAGGCTGTGTCCAGTTTCCCTTGGCAGCCAGAGTCTCAGACAGGTGTCACTCTCCCCCCAACACGGCGGAGAAGCTGGAGGCAAAGCCACCAAGAACCCGCTGGGAAATGAGCAACCCAAGGACCGCACTATAGGAGGAGACTTTCACCTGAACAAACTTTAAAAGTGGCTCTCTGGTAGCAGCTCCTTCCCCTGGGACCTACCCACTGATCCACGTCAAGGCCGCGGGGAGCGGGCCCTGTTTTAAGTGATTCCAGCCCTGAGGCCCCTCTGCAGGGCAGGCGTGCCCTCCCCACTTCTTCCTCGGGCACGAATTCCCAGCTCCCGGGGAGCCGCCGGAAAACCAGGAGCCTCACCACAAAGCAAAGGCGCGCAAAGCTGGAGAAGCAAGAGGCCCTGGCCCCGGAGACTTCCCTCCCGATCCCCCCTCCGGTGGAGGAAGTTCAACGGGACCCGGAGTGTGCAGCGCTCGGCCCAGCTGGGGAGCTTCCAGATGGCGCTGGGGGTCGGGAAGGGGCGGCTGAGAGCAGGGGGTGCTGCCGCAGCCCGGGCGGAAGGACAGACGGACGGAGGGGCAGAGGGATGGAGGGACCGACGGAGGAGCGGACGGGAGGGACGGAGGGACGGAGGCCAGGGACGGAGGAGCGGACGGACGGATGGAGGCAGGGCCGCAGGGACAGAGGCCCGGGCCGCAGGGACGGACGGACGAAGGGACGGACGCAGGACGGAGGCTGGGACGCGGGACGGAGGCCCGGGCCGCAGGGACGGACGGACGGACGAAGGGACGGGCGCAGGACGGAGGCTGGGACGCGGGACGGAGGCCCGGGCCGCAGGGGCGGACGGACGGACAAACGGAAGAAGGGGCGCGCGCGGGGACGGAGGGAGGCCCGGGCCGCGGCCCGCCTTACTTGCTGCAGGCAGCGCTCCTTGAGCTGCTCCACGGAGGTGTCCTCGGTCGCCTCCTCCAGCCACTCGGCGCCGTCGGGCGCGCAGATGTGCAGCCGCAGCACTTTGCCCGCGAAGATCTTCTCCTCCTGCACGAACATCGCGCCGCCGCCGCCGCCGCCCGGGCCCTGAAGGTCACCGGGCAGGGCGGGCGGGGGCGGGGCCAGGCCGCCCGCGCGCTCGCTCGCGGGCCGCCGCCGCCCCGCCCCGGCTCTGTCGCCGGCCGCCTGTCACTCGCAGCGGCCTGAGCTGTCGCCTCCCTCCGCCGCCGAGCCGCCGGGGGCGCGCTGTCGCCGCAGCGCCGGAAGTGCGTCACAGGGCGTGCCCGGGCATGCCGGGAGTTGTGGTTCTCCGGGTCCCGCCGCGCTCCCACCGCCGCGCCGGAAGTGCTCCGCAGCTGGCGCCCGGTGCTTCCTGGGAGATGTAGTCCTCCTGGCGCTCCCCTCTTCCTGCACCTGCCGGCCCGCGCTTCGCAGCTCAGGGCCACGCTGGTCGCGCGGGACCGTGCAGGTGGCTGGCCCGTTTTGAGTTGGGCTCCAAGTGTAAAATACACCCTGGATCTCCCAGAGTTAGCAGGAAAGCAACCATGTAAAATACATAAATGTTTTTATATTGACTACATGTTGAAATAGTGGTCTGGGTGCATTGGGGTAGAGTAAAATATATTGAAATTGATATCACCTGTCTCTGTATACTTTTCAAAAGAGGTGGTTTCTAGAAGGTTTTACATTGTGCATGTGGCTGCTCTTGTGTTTCTTTCGGGGAGCACTGCTCTTGAGCAGTTCTGGTCCCCACACCAGAAGCGGCAGCAGCACCTGGGGACTTGTTAGCCTGCGGGTCTCCCGCGTCCCGAGCCTCCCCGATCCGGCCTCCGCGGGTGCAGAGCTGCTGACTACACTCAGGCCGGGCTATGGGCACCTTTAGGGAAGGACACAGCCCAGGGACTCAACACACCCACTTCCTGCCGGAAGACAAATATCAGTGCTGCCGCCCGGGTGACTGACCTGCACTCACTCATTTTATTCATTCGAAAAACCTGTACTGAGCACAGATAAACGCGGCACAGGTCCTGTTCCCTGGGGACCCGGTTCCGCATCCGTCACTTTCAGGTGTCGACTCTTCACACCAGTTTGGACACACGGCCAGTTTCCCCATGTGATCCTTCCGACCACGTCCAAGTCCAGTTTGTCACCCTGAGCCAGACCGGCCACTCGCTGAAAACAGCAATGATTGAGGCTGGAGGGGGGATCCTGCCCTGGGAAGGGGCTCTCTGCAGGAGACAGACGTACTATGGCACAGTCGCAGGACAGAGGAGACCACGGGCCAGCAGGGAGCGGGGTGGGGTTGGGTTAATAAGAACAAAATCAAGACGGACACGCATGCTCCCAGCGTGGGTGGCAGGGCGCCCGTCAGAAGGTGGGGTGGGAAGCCTGCTGAGCTCTGCACCCATGGTTACCTGGGTGTGCAGGGGGGCATCCAAGTGGACATTGCCGGGAGGCACTTGGATGCACAGGGCTGAGTCCAGGAGAGCTGGCAGAGCCCACCAGGCCCTGGCTCCCACCCAGCACCTACAGTCTCCAGGAAGAGCCTGAGCTGCCTTGGGTGGTGGCAGCCAAGGGGATGACCCCCCCTTCCCATGGTCTCCTCACTTCCACTGACTCATCCCCTGGACCCTGAGCAGCCATCAGCCAAGCTGGGAAGGCTTGGGAGGGTCACCCAGCAAAGGGCACTCCAAGTCTGGCCCAGGGGCCTCCTGCCCTGGTTCTCCTGGTCGCCAGTGTCCCAGCCCTGCGATACCCCGAATCCTCCAACAGCAGCTGCCAGCAGTTCCTCAAGGCGGCCAGGAGAGGGCAGAGGCGAGCCACAGTCCTGCTGGGCAGGCCCGGGACTGGGAAAGGGCAGGCGACCAGTCGGCGGGCTCCAAGCACCCTCTCCAGGGCCCCTGCTGGGAGCCTGGCCGTGGGTGTGTGCTCCACACTCTGAGGACGCAGAGCTCGGTCAGCACCCCAAGGGAAGACAATGGAACCGGGCAGTGAAGGATGAGCAGAAGCCCACCAGGCTTCGAGAGGAAGTGGAGTGGGGGGACTGAGGCACTCCAAGAGGAAGCAGCCCCACCACCCCTGTGGGTTCAAGGCTCCAGCCCCACCCCTGCCGTGGGAGACCCCAGACCCAGAGAGAGGAGGAGCAGCATCTGGTCACTTATCCTGTTCCCAGCAAAAGCCAGGTCCTGGGCCCACATCCTGCCCCCTGCCCTCCTCATCTGGCCTCCAGCATCACCTTCTAATGGTCACCAAGTGGAGGAGTGTCCTGGGTGGTGGGAACAAAGTCTTACAGACCAGGGGCATCAAGTAACAGGGATTTACTCTCTCCTGTTCTGGGCACCAACAATCCAGGTGTCGGCAGCCTCCCTGGGAGGCTGTGAGGGAGGGTCGCCCCAGGCCTCTCACCAGACCCCTCAAGGTCCCCTGGCCTGCCCCGTCTTCTGTGGCATCTCCCTGGGTCCCAGTGTTCAGTTCTCTTCTTAGAGGATAGCAGCCTTGGATTGAGAGCCACCCTCATCCAGGAGAACCTCATCCTGAGATGCTTAACTAACGACACCTGCAAAGACCTGATTCCACATAAAGTCATTCTGAGGTTCCGGGTGCACTTGAGTTTGGGGGCACCCTACTCAGCCCCCAGGAGAGGTCCTGAGCATTTCCCAGTGTGGGGTGTGGGCCTGTGCCTGCTCCACACAAGCCTCCCGCCAGCTCCCCAGCTCCCAAGGCTTCCTCCGGGTCCAGGGATCAGAGCTGCATGTGTGCAGGGCAGGGACAGGGTGGAGCGAGGCCTCCGGAACCGGAAAATCCAAGTGGCCCCCAAAGTTAATTAATTATTACATTAAATGCACCCGTTCGGGCCCTGCAAACAGGAAAGTATTAATCACCCATTTCCTCAGACTGACAGACCCATTTCCCTAACCTCCCCTACTGCTGACTTAACCAAATGACAATCTCTGGCTGCACTTCCCCCAGTCACGGCTCATGAATATTCCGGCGTTGCAATTTGCCTTTTCAAAGAACAGACTTATTATTTCACTTTTAAGTTGCTGTCATGAATAGGAATGTTCCAGGCCCCCAAATAGTGGAATGACAGTAACCATTCTGGTCAGCCACACAGCTCCTGGGAGCCAGTCCTGCCCTGCAGGGGACAGGTTGGGGGTGCCCGGCCTTCCTGCCCAGCCCTCGGCACTTCAGGTTGTAGCCAGGTGCACCCTGGGCCCCTGCATCTCTTCAGCCCCTCTGTGGGCCGGGCCACAAGTCTCACCACCTCAGCGTGAGATCTGGCCACTCCGCCACCCCTCTGCCAGGCTTGAGTTTGGGGTCCTCTTGGTGCCCCCCACACTCAGGCCACTGGCAGGGGCAGGTCAGAGCCCAGGGCTTCCTATCCACTCCCCCCCACCCTCGTGTTTATTCTACCCTCCTTCCTTGACAACAAGTCTTATTTTCAGGACACAGGGCTCATGGCAAGCAGCTGCCAGGTTTCAGTTGTTTGAATGAATGAATGAATGAATGAATGAATGAATGAATGAATGAATGAACGAGCTCAGACTGGGGGGGCCTGAAGGGGCCGCCACACAAGTTCACACTGGAACATTGTGCGGGAATTCCTCCCAGGGAATCACTCACTCCTTACTCTCCATGCAAAGATGGGATTTGGCCTTCCGAGGGCCCACAGCGCCCTCTGCTGGCAGCCACAGCGTGGCACGCAGGCTGGGGGATGGGACTGATCAGTCACATTTCTGGGGTTAGTGTTTCTGAGCACTGACCCTTATGCCAGCACCGCGGGCGCAAACCTTGGGTGAAGGCATCGGTGACCCCGGGTGACACACACTGACTCGGGGCCAGAGGAGTTTTACCAGCCTGCGTGGCCGGGGCCGCCTGAGGCTTGGTTTCTGGAAGGCTGTGTGCTCTTCGCTGAAATGGCATTTGTGCAACTTCCTGCGAGTTGTCACAGGGACACCACCCGCCCTTTCGGGAGGGTCCTCAGGGGCAGAGCTGGCGCATGCACGCGTCCTGCCCCTCGCTGAAGGCCAGCAGCACACCCTGACTCCCTGTCGAACAACGAACGCCCCTGGGAGCGGGGCCACCCCGCCCTGGGTGAGAATGGGTGTCCGGTCTCAGACAGGAGAGCACAGGTGGGAAACAGACCTTCCTCCCCCTGAGCCCTCTGCTGTGGGCGCGAATGGGCACTTCTGGTGGCTGTGGGTGGAGTCGACAGGCCCGGAGTATCATAGATCGTACACTTGAAACCTATATAATTGTATTAGCCAATGTCACCTCAATACATTTTTTTTTTTTAATTTAAAAAGAGGCCCTGGTCCAGCTGGTGTGGCTCAGTGGCTGAGCGTCGACCCATACACTAAGAGGTCACCGGTTTGATTCCCAGTCAGGGCACATGCCCAGGTTGTGGGCCCGATCCCCAGTGGGGGGCATGCAGGAGGCGGCTAATCGATGTTCTCTCTCATCCGTGTTTTTATCTCTCCCTCTCCCTTCCTCTCTCTCTAAAATCAATAAAGAAAAAAAATAAAAATAATAAAAATAAAAAAAAGAGGCCCAGAGAGGGACTGGAGCCCTCCCAAGGTCATGGGGGAGGGGGACTCAGTGCAGGGGACCCAGACCCCCGAGGGCCTTTTACAACATCCCTTCCGTCCTATGGGGTGGGGTGGCCCCTGGTCCGCAGTCTCAGGAAGGAACAGCCTCCCATGGCCAGGGGAGCTCTACAGAGCCAGACATGCAAAGTCCTGCAAGTCCCAGCCAGCACCTCCCTGCTTCCCCGGAGCCAGGAGCAGGCTGACCTCAGAAAGGCCTGCACTGCCTGCTGCTGGGCCCCGGCCCAAGGCTCCCGCCCTGCGGTCCAGGTGCAGCCGTGTCTCTCTCCGAGGTGCTGAAACACTGCCCTGGCACCGGGCCAGCCTCCTGGAGCCTGGTCCCTCCAGCCACAGGCTGCCGGTGGATTCCTGTCTCACACCGCTCCTCGAACTCCTCACCATTCTGTTTTTTTTTTAAATTTTCACGTTTAAAATCGTGGTGCAATATACACAATTTACCAATGTAACCACGTCCAAGGGCTCGGCAGCTGCAGGGACGCTCACTGTGGTACAGCACACACGTCCTCTCCAGGACTCTCTACCCTCCCAGCTGTCTCAGGAAGCACCCACTCCCACCCCTCCCCCAGCCCCAGCACTGTCCACTTCCTGTCTGTGGATCTGAGTCCTCCAGGGGCCTCGTGAGTGGGGTCACACAGGACTG